AGCGGACGCCCCAGGAGGTGGCAAATTGCTATTGTCTTGTCGGCGCGCAAAACAAACATGAAATCCGACCCTATCACATTAACGCAAACGGTAACGCGTTAGAAATAATTTCTGACGATTTTCTAACCATTTTCTGACGAAAATCTAACCAAATACTGACGATTTTCTAACCATTTTCTGACGAAAAAATAACTCGTTAGTAACGGGGTACCCGGTTAACTATAACGCGAACGGTACTGTAAGTAAGGATAAATGCAGAATTCAGATTTTTCTCACCTGGTCTCTTGCACTTGTATCCAGTCAATTGATGTCACCTAAATAATATGAAATAAGTTTTTAAAAAACCTACAACACACAACCTTACAATCATAATTTATCTATGAATTTATGATCAACAAACTTATTATAATAAATTATATTTAACGATGTTCAGGGTCTGCACCTTAAAATCAACCTAAAAATCTTGACCAAAAAATCATGTCCCCTCCTTTAACCCAAAGCTTTCACTTCAGGGTACAAATTTTAAATAAATGTTGACTTATTTCCCCATTTCAAAAACAAAACTTCAAAAATACCAAACGAACTGCATGAAGCTATAAAAATATTTTGGATGGGATTGCGTCATACTTGTTTGCGCGAGTTTTTGGCGGGAAAATGTGTATGTCCACGTGCAGTAAACTACATAATTGGCCCACGTGTACGAATTACCAATACCACGAGGAAAGAACAAAATATAGAATACAAAGCTCGTCTATTTAATGCTAATATTTTTACCTCCATTTTATTCTTCATTACAAGGAAAACAAGGAAAAAGTATGACTTCAAAAACGCCAATATATCCAAGAAAACGGTTCAGAAAGAAAGGGTGAAGTTCAAAACGACATGCACAAAAAAAACTAAAGACGAGCATAAAAATAACACCAATTTACACGGAATATAACGTAACTTGTTGTCATGGAATTGGTAGAAATTATTTTGCAGAGATATATTGTTACTGTAGTTTGTTGTCTTACCTATAACTGAAGTCTGATTCGGGGTCCTTGGTCCTCTTCCCCAGACCACGCCGTCCCTCCATCTTGAATCTGTGCCATGTTCTTCTCCAAATTTTTGGCTGAGGAAATACGCATTTTCTCCCTCAAATATCCAACAGAACGTCACAAAACCACCGTGGCAACATCCCTGCTATTTACTGCATGTATACATACGTTTTAGATACTTTTAACGGGCAAAAACAAGCAAAAATCGCCAAGAAAAGTTGCCAAGAAAAAATTAACTCTTACACGGCAACATGAGCTGCGGCATCTGGACTATACCAAACATGACTTTTACAGGGGGTGGGGTGGAGGGGTAAAAAAAATACTAAATTAATTTAATCATTGGCGGAGCACCAGAAACAAAATGTAGTTCATTGTCGGAAAGAGAACACATACATTAGCTACTGTAGTTAACCCACACCATTCGGAACTTATGTCAAAAGTAACATATAAAAAACTTGGTCCACCTGTTATACATTTTTGTACCTTACCTTAATCTCCAAGCAGATCCTAGGGTGGCAAAAAGACAGTATCATATTGGCCAGGCAGTATCCATTGGCAAGAGAGGGTCTAAAACGCCACCTTCTCTGGCCAATGGGTACTACCTGGCCAATTTGATACTGTCTTTTTGCCACCCTAGGATCTGCTGGGAGATTAGCTTACCTAGCTTTATCATTTCCGTGTGGCCCTGGCTAGGTGAGCATAAAAATGAATTATATTTTCCACCTTTCAATGTTACACCAGTTCTGGATTTATCCTTAGTCTGGACCAAACGTGTGTTGACCTCAAATTACCTTTAGGAGTTTCTCAGCTCATCAGGCTAGGCCATACATGTGTGTGGATGGTGTTCAGCACCAAGGACAGGCCCTATCTGACTTGGTATGAGCCAAATGCTTGAAGCTCTGGACACTTACTTGTAGTATAATGCATGCTTTTGTTTGGTGTTTTTATGAGAGCTATTTTATTACAGTGACAACTACTCAAGAAGGCCACTCAGGACCGATAAAATCTTAACTATTTGTACAGGTGGACACTAGTAGCAGGATTATTAACACTTGTGTCAATGGATAAAACCACCAAAAATGGTCAAATTGACCAGGTGGCTCTAAAGATATCTATCTAATATAGGGGTAGGAACTTGAATATGTCTGACTGATACCAACTAAGCAATAAATAAACATAAACAAGTGAAGGCCACACCAATTTAATTTCCTGGTTAACGGATTCGCCGCTTCATTTTTTTCTGATTTGCAAATAAAAATAAAAATTCAGAATCAACTGCAAAATGCTCATATTTTGCCCTGAACAGTTGAAAACAGTAGTATCATTAAAAGTTCAAAATTCATTGTTTAAATTTTTAACCAGTCTGGTGTGTTGACTTCATGGCTCCTATCGTACCATTCTGGGCCATAATAGGATGCCCAGGCCGGTTTTTATTTTTATTTTTTTTTCGCCAGCCCGCTCCATTATTTTTCTAGAATAATCCGTTAACCAAGAAATTAAATTGGTGTGGCCTAAGAAATTGGACACATCTTCACACACAGAAAAGTTTTCGATGCACTTTAATCTTGCAACAGAAATTTCATACATACTGATCACAACAATATACAGAAGAAAGTGATTTATGGTCGAACACGTGGATATGGCCACCATTTAAATTTGTTACATTACTGGCACATACTTTATGGTATGGGGATATGATCATTTGATATGCAATACACAACTAGTCATGTATTATTCCATCAAGTCAGTAAAATAATGTACTTTTTTCCATTACCTCAATACATGTAATTGCTGGCAAGTCACAAATAGCTATAGGTACAATAAGTGCTATGAAATTGCAATTAGGTATGGAAATTTAACATTACATGTACATTTTAACCCAAATACGTACATAGACCACCAGTATGCAACACACACAATTATGTCACCAAAAAGCTATAATTTCTTCCCCCATAAGATTTTTTTCAAACACACTAGCTGTGGTATAATTTTCATAAATAAACAATAAGACGTTTCATCTGACAATATCTTTATACATAAACATTCTTGCTTGGTTTCAGTACAATACAATTATGCTGCTGCACTGGACAAAAAGAACAATGTCTTATAGGTGAACTCTTTGTTTTTGTACATGCACAAAAAATTATGCTTACTACTTATAACAGAAATTGTGAAGGTGTAGTACTATGAAAGGCAGCCATCTTGAAAAGGTTTTGACACTAATGCATTATGGGCATTATGGGTTGACTTATAACTCACTGAAAAGTTCTTCTTTACCCTGAAATTTACTGAATGAAGATTGCATTAAAATGGTAGGCGTGGTTTTGAGAACTGCTCAAAAGAATCATAAATTAATTAGAATATTTTCCATTATTTACTTGCTGTAATATTTTCTGTCAAAGTACTTTCTAATTGCACAAGTCTGCTTATATTACACAATAGAACATCAACTGATATCCTGCATACTGATGAGCAGCCATGTTTCTTCTAGCGTCAGTCAGTTTGACAAATTAGCTGCTATGTTCAGTCTGGTATCACAGCAAGCATAAGTACAGGGACAGCATGTCAACCTGTGTGTGGATGGTGTTCAGCACTAAGGACAGGCGTATTTACCTGTGTGTGTGGATTGTGTTCAGTACCAAGTACAGGCATGTTTACCTGTGTGTGGATGGTGTTCAGTACTAAGGACAGGCATGTTTACCTGTGTGTGGATTGTGTTCAGTATTAAGGACAGGCATCTTTACCTATGTGTGTGGATGGTGTTCAGTACCAAGGACAGGCATGTTTGGGTGGATAACATATTCAGACAATAATACATTAACAAATCTATCCAAAGCAGAAAACACATAGCAACAGATCTGTACAGTTATGGAAAACAAAATTCCAGTTACAACAACGTATCTTGTACTAAGGAACAGAGCTCACAGACTAGCTTCTTGTATGCATTTTGTTTGTAATGATCAAGAGCACAGGACAAGACCATTCAGAAAGAGTATTACTAAGCAAATATATACAGATAGTGCCAGACTAAAGGTTCTTAATACAGCAACATGTATAACCATGACAAGGTGCAATATCATAAAATTCCAGCTACAACCATGGTAAAGTACTCAGTAGTGCTGCCATGCTTAAGAATCATGAATAGTCATAAACTTGTGATAAGACAGAAAAATACTAGTCATTATTTCACCTGCAGTTACAGTTAAGGCTATCTTGAACAATAACTACTTCACATGAAATGTCAGAATTTTTGTAATATGTCATGTGTATTCTTGTTACTTACTTAGCTCACAGAAAAATTGCAAGTTGACACATCTACCGCTGCGACCACCGTGCAAACACAAGAGAAATCATTGTACGGCTTGAGTAGAAGACATATTCTTGAATCTAACAGTACTGATTGAGAGAATAACAAATATAAGATACAGCTTTCTTTAACATCACACAAGAACTCCACAGCAGCATAGTGGAAACATGTTGTTTACAATGTTGAAATGAACACAGTGTACATGTAAGAGTATTCATACACCCATCTCATCTGTAACAGATTAAGGTACATGTACATGTCTAATCATTGAGTGCCATTGTTTGCCTGGTACAGAAAGCAAAATAGCATTATGATGATAAGACTTAAAGGGAAAAGAAAATGGCACATAATAAGAAGTAGGGACTGCTAAGCAGCCTATATAAGCATTTCTGTTTCTTAGAAACATTCTTAAACTCTTTCTCTGTGGAGCCCAAATTGTAGTACAGTGTACCAACTCTTTAAGTTAGCAAAATGCTGTTGTGCCATTTTCAAACACTTCAAGAGGCTGTTGATTGGTTGATTGACTTGGTTACTATGGTGATGCATGAATTTGGTTGCTATGGTGATGTCTGACATCCCTGTCATGCCCACCATGGAAATGATTTACATATTGCCATGGCAACCCCATTGCTATGTAACTTACATTACATCCCCAACCATGACTACCTGGTTGCCATGGTGATGTAATGTGTTGTCATGGCAACCTGGTTACTATGGTAATGATTGACATGTTGCAGTGAAGGTTTATATGCTGGCATGCCCCTCATCGTTGGTGTCGGTGTTGTCGGAGTTTTGCCCGTCCAGCGCGCTTTGCGGCCGCCATATGCGAATGTTACGGTCACTGTGGCAAAATAAGTGAGAAAGGAATGCAACAAAAAAGGAAGGAAATGATAAACTGGCATCCACCACATATGTATATGTACATCAATGATGACAAAATTCAGAGATAAGAGAGGTATTTTGTGGTGAAATGACAGAAGAAAAAGAATAATGAGGAACATTGGTAGTAACCAGGGCTTGAATTTTTTCTGCCTACCTGCACTGGTGCAGTTACATTGAAAATTACCTGCACCAGACAAACTTTACCTGCACCACTCAGAATTTAAGAACAACAGAAATACCTGCACAGCTTCAATTTTACCTACACTCACTTGATTGATAGATTTCCAGCCCTAGTAACTATTTAATTATGGGGAAAAAGTATGATCCTTGCAAACAAAACTTTGTAAGCACAATGAATATGCACTTTGTTGTTAACTATAGCAAGATCCAAACAAAATCCAAGAATTTTCACATTCAGATTTGGCTGTCAAACTGAGATCTGATACATGTAGTCCTGTAGGATTGTTTGTCCCGTACACTGTTTGCTTTACCAAATGGTGCTGAGTCGTGGACACATACGCCAAACCTTCAGGTTTCCACGGTAACAGCTGGCAGCGTGGGGAGGGCAGAGGTTAGAGGTCAGAGGTTAGTAGGGAAGATGATGGTGATAGAAGAATGTTAGTAGAAACAACATGACTTTCTACAATGACATTTCCTCTAATGAGGCTACAGTCAACAATTTAGTTTCTTGCTTCTTTAATTTGTATAAAATATACAAAAGATGATTTTAAACCCCTTAGAGGAAATGTGGTAGAAAATTTCAAGACATATTTAGAAGGACAGAGATGTTATTTGAGAGTTCATGGATGTTAAGATTGAGAGTAAAGTAAGTAGCTACATACTAACACAAAGGTCACTTACATGTGAAGCAAATACATGTAAAACCATGGGTAAACCAGTTTTAATACTACCAAGGACATTATACTGTGTATAATGTCCTTGATACTACAATATACATTTGAAAAAGAGGAAAAACAATCATTACATCAAGGGTCTCTTTTACTCTATTCAACTGAACATTTTGCAACCAAAAAATGAAGATAATACAAAGAAACAACATTTTCTCCGTACCTTGAAGCTGTGAATATATGTGAAGAGTTAGAACAGATAGCGTTGATGGGGCTGTCGTGACCTTTGACCTCTCCGACCAGCGAGCAGTCCTCCATCTGCCACACCTTCAGCTGCCCCGCCCGGCAACCGCTTAGCAACATCTGCCGGCCTGGCACGAAGTCCAGCGCACACACCCAGTCCTTGTGCGCATTGCTGATCGACTATTGGTGGAGAAATAGAGGTGTGTTTGTTTGTTTGTTTGTTTGTTGATGGAGAGTAAACAAAATAATGTACATTTGATTGTATATTATAAGAGGAATAAATCAATGGTAGACAACAGACCTAGCCCTTATCTTCTGACTGATTTTAGAAAGATCATGGCTAAAACTTCTTTGAGAAGAAGTACATTTTTCAGAATGTATGAAGAGCAAGATGATAATATATAAAAAAAAACACATTCCTATTCACAAACTCTCAAAAATCTCACATTTTTCTGAAACAAAAAGATAAGCAAAAAGTACTGAAAGTTGAAAGACATTTGCTGTTAGGTACATAAATGATAACAAACAACAAGTAAAATGCATGTTCTGCCCTCCACCGTATACACCATGCAACATTAGCTATACATTGTACATGTACATAGAGGTAAAAAGATGTAGATTAAAGGTCAGTTAGGAATGGAATTCTGGGGAACATGATGTAGTTAATGCACAGTAGTTCTCAGCCCATAATGAATTAAAGATTGAATATTGAAAGAAAAAAATGCAAGAGAGGACCACAGCAGACTTCAAATTATGGTTAATATCTACATGAAGATATTGTCCATGAACTTGGGGGAGGTGAAAAAGTATACTATTATGATTTAAATAGGAAAATGGTCTGAGAAAACTGTCTTCAGTTCAAGGGATTAACGATACCAGAGTCAATTTAGAACTGGGCAACATAAGCTTTGATGAGGGGGGGGGGTGACCTAAAGCTATAGGAAGCCATCACCAATTCACAAGATAACTGAAAGTCACATTGAATCAAGGTTAATAACTGAGTTTATATCATAAACATATCATTTCTAAATGACATGAAGGGGGGGAAGGGAAGCATGCTACGACTGTAGTAGGAACAAGCCCCTGAACAATGCACCGATTCCAAATGAAGAAATTTGAAGCTGTCACCAAATCAAGAGACAGAAAGTCACATGGAAGTTAACTATAGAATTTAAATATGGGAATATGTAATGTCCCTGGGAAACAGAATGAAAAGAGTATGACTAAAAAGCCCTTTAAAAAAATAAACCGATTCCAGAGAAATTTGAAGTTATATCGTGTGTCCTACATCGACCAGCGTCCCGCGAGGTTTCTCTGGGCTGGATGCGCGGCCGAGCTGCGTTGGGAGTTTGGTTAGGTCACCTGACCAGTCCTTAACACACACACTGCCCCACTGTGACAAGACACACACTGTTATCTACAATCTCATTTAAAAAAAAAGGAAAAATCATTGCTGAAGTTATTCTAAGTTGAATTAATTTAATTTCTTTCACTTATTTGTTCAAGTCTTTAGCTCTATGACAAATGTGTGGCAGGCCTGAGGATTTTAATCTTTGGCCACAAAGGCCAAAGTCATTACAAAAAAGAAAATATTGCAACAGTAACTTCTTTAATTTCTTCCACATTTTTGGTTGGCAAAGGCCTTGGCTCTGTTTTACAATTACAATAGACTAAGTGTTTTTTTGGGGGGAAAAAATTAGAAGAAAAGATGTTTAGCAGTGACAACACAATCTGGAGAGGCTGTCCAGAACAATAAGATCATTTTATAATAATATCACATAAATTGTCAAAATCTGTTCATCAGGATAGGCTGTACATGTTGTACATGTTTGCTTCTAATCAAAATGAGTCAACTTGTTCCCAGACAAAGTGTAAACAAAAAAGAGGTTGCGACAGAGAAAAGAATGGTTATTTGCAGCATGAATGTTGATAAATGGTAACTATATGGGCTGGGCAGTTGGGTGTATACTATACATGTATGTTTACCTGATGTACATATTTTTATAGCTGAAATTTCACGAGAATCAGCAAAAAGAATATCTTTCTCCTCCACACTACAGTAACTTACAAGTGATGTAAACCATATGATATTGTGGTTGCTATTATAACATTTTCTACAAGGCTATGATAAAGTTTATGACAATCTTTAAATTTATATACTAAGTAGATAGCTGAATTTTGTACAATCATGTATTTGTATAGCACAGCCAAGACCTGTCAAACTTTTTTCTAAGAACGTGCTATTGTGGAAAAAAGCTACAAGTCAATGTGACAGTTGTACGACCTCTACGAGCTATATTTACCTGTCTAAGTTGCTGGTTGGCGAGGTCCCATTTCTTGATGCAGGTGTCGCGTGAGCCGCTGAACAGGAAGTCTCCCATGATGGCGAGGGACTGGATCCCGTCGTAGTGAGGCGGCTCCAGGTTGTACTTGGCGTTGATGCTTCCGTCATGTTCTCTGGAACCTCAAATACCTGGAAACATGGACAGAAAAATTAGTAATAGTTCATTTTATGTCATACCTGGGCTGCGATTATGTTCGATACGGGTGTTCGGTGTGATAACTAGCGGTACGGCCTGGGGTTCTTTTGCGGTATGACCCGGGCTTCCAAATGTTCCATAGAATAGCACCAATTGTGCTGTTTTCAAAACTTCGAACACCAAATTCAGATGTTGGAATTGACGCCGTTACACTTTTTGTTTGGCCGTCGGACGATCCAACCCGCGATCAGGCTGGTACCTCAGGCGATACGGAATACACAGTGTAGTATTCTACATGAATAATATGTATACCAGTGTTCTAGCCAGTTGAAATTTTTTCCTCCTATCAATTTTGTTCGAGGTGTTGGGCCAGAGGTGAGACAATTTGGGGGGATCCAGAGGCATTCTACCCATGAAAATCTTTACCCTCAGAAACGCTATGCAATATACTGTCCAGTGTGCTGTAAAACTGAAAACTTACATCAAGTAAAATACAAGACACACACACACATACAAAATGTACAAAGACACAGTAACCAACTGAAAATAAATCAAACTTGAAAAAAAGAAATTTTAAAATAAAAGACAGTTGAAAAGTAGGCTAAGGCAAGCCTTTACTATTTTCAGCTTCCAATTTTTTCTGACACACCTTTCTCAAATGGAACAATCCAAATACCATCCAAGTTTGACAGAAATTAGGACTGTACCACTCTTGAAGAGGGGTGTTACATAGAAGAAAACTGTGCTGTTAAAAACATGCCAAAGCTTTATGTACCCAAAATAAGCCTTGAAGCACAGAAAGAAAACTTACTTCCAAGTAGCTTCGAGGGAACTCTATTGGATGGAATTGCTGCAAGACAGCGAGACAGTAGTAGTAGGGAGAGGGATCGAGACAAAAAAAATAAGCAGAGACACAGACAGTCAAGCAATTAGAGCAATTCAGCAGCAAATGTACAGTATACCTGTATTTTTTGCAAGAAATATCATCAGTGAAAACATCAAATTCTTTCCAAACAGTGTACACTTTTCATCAACTCTTTTTGAAGATAAATTGATGCAGATACTTTCTTTTTCTTTTGTTGACCTCAAAGAGCAATTAGTAAGACAAAGCATAATGCTTTTTCGATAGCTGCTAGTGCAATGAAGCTTAGTTACAGCTCATTTTAAATTTATAAGTAAACACACATTAATTTTTCATTGCACCAATTTTGAGCGACACAGATTGCGCATTTTTATTGAAATCTGTATCACAATGTCGCCTTAATGAGAAGAAAATTGACTCACCGGAATTTTTGACCCAATCACTCGGTCTTCATCAGCTTTCCTGAGTGCTGTAGACACGTGACTTAACCAACATGTGACGTCAGCACTGGGTCAAAGTTCGTCAGAAGTCTGTACCGCCCCCCACCCCGGTTGAGCGACGTCACACGTGGGTAAAAGTCACATGTCTACATACGTACAGCACTCAGGTCAGAAAGCTGATGAAGACCGAGTGATTCGGTCGAAAATTCCAGTGAGTCAATTTTCTTGAGTTGGAGAACAGTTAAATTCTCATGATGTAATTTATCAACTCGGATTAACTTTCATGCTAGAATGTCACTTTGATGTAGTGATCCTTTGACACTGAGAAGACAATATTTTTACTGAAAGAAATCTGAGAACAAATCAAATTGGTGGGGCCTAAACACACTTTTCATTGCACCAATTTTGAGCAGACACAGTTTGTGCGTTTGATTGAAATCCGTCAACACAAGGTCACTTCGACCCTGCCACAACAATATTTTTACTGCAAGAAATCCGAGAACCAACAAATCAAATTGGTGTGGCCTAAACACACATTTCAGTGCACCAATTTTGAGCAGACACAGTTTGTGCGTTTGATTGAAATCCGTCAACACAAGGTCACCTTGATGTAGTGATCCTTCGACCCTGAGACGACGACGGGCGTATCGTGTTCCTGGTCCCTCCGTGGCCCATGACCATCACGGCGGCCGAGTGTCCGCCCGTCAGCTTCCCAACTGGCTGGAACTTGTTCAGGTCCCAGACGCGGATGGTGTTCCCCGCGGCGGCGTACAGACGGGACCCGGAGCGGTTGAGCCGGATGTCGTTGATCTGAGTTTCTCCCGCCGGCATGGACAGGGTGCGCGTGGTCGTGGTGCTTACCATGCTGGTCTGCACCTGGCCAGCAGAACTGTCAACAACAACAACATGTAAACAACAACAACAACATAAACTTGGAGATGTTAAAAACAGGTACCATTTTAAACTTGAAGCACCTTGCTTAAATCTATTGCTTACAAATGTATATCTTTAATCAGCATAAGTTCATCAGTACTGAATCAAAGCAGGCATACATTAATTTGCATATGTTCTAAATGGTTTACAAAATTTAAAACGATTTCATATTTTTCTGGTACAACTACAAACTTTTAAGCCATCTCCCTACTGCCTAATCCTTCATCCAATGTGATACACAGTGTAAATATGCTAAATATTTTTTCCAGCATTAAGCAAGTTTTGACATACACACACACTGTACTGCTTGAAACAAAATATGAGGAATTTAAGCGTTACTAAGAGTTAAGAATTGTCAGGGCTATGCCTTCTTATAAATGGCAATATATTTGTATTTAATTTATATGATTTCTTATGATAATTGATTATATAATAGGCTGTGATACTCACGTGAGAGTTTTCACACATTTTGCTGAGCTCGATCTAATATCCCAGACCTTCACAAAGTACGTGGACACACTGAACACCAGTCCCGTGTACGAGCAGTAGCGAACCGCCACCACGTTGTTGGGATGTCCAGGTAAGGTCATGATCTCCTGGCCTGTCACAAGGTTCCAAACCTTCACTGTTCTGTCCTTCGAGGCGCTGAACAGAAGGTCGTCTGTTGCGTCGACTGAGAGGACGGCTTTCGTGTGCCCCTCGGCGAGGTGCATGCACGTGAGCGGGGACGATCGCGACGCAGAACGGCCGCTGTTGTACGGGTTAATGGAACCTTTATCGAGTTTGTGCGGGCTGTTACTCGGCGCGCTCAGTCTAGCAAACACGTTCTGATCTGGAGGCCGGAGCGACGTTGGTGAACCAGGCGGCGTTATCGTCATATCCGACCCTGTATCCGATGTAGAGTTTGTCCGAGAGATCGGAGGAGGTGGTTTAGTGTACGTTTTCCGTCGCATGCTTGGGGTCGTTGACCTCTTGTCCGGTGGTGCGGCGTTGACCTGCGTTGTCGGTAGACTCGACCCGGATTTACTTCGTCGGAGCCCGCCAGTGGATTGCGAGGAAACTTGAGGGGGCTTTGTTAGAGGAGCAGCGGGTGGCGGCATCAGTTTAGCAGCATCAACCTCATCCGCCCTTTCCTGATTGGTTGATTCGTCATTTTGCTCCGCCAATGGGATAAGAGTTGTGGGAGAGGGTTTGACGATGTCACATGAAGCGATGTCTGAGTTCGAGTCACTGCTGTCTGCGAAGAGGAGGTCACTAGGGGTGGCTGTTCTTCTTCTGGCTTTCTCCTTCTTCTGTTGAGCTTCCATCGCAGCAAGCCTGGGAATGTAATGAAATAATAAAATTATTGATTTCTTTTTATAAACTTAAAACTTGGGTTGAATCCTGTATCAAACTACAGACATGCTCATCTATTCATCCAGTTGGTAAATCACTATACAACAAAGTTCTTTGAACACACGGTACGTAATCAACTAACATTTTTGTGACCATCTGTCACCTTCCTCAGGGCAGTACTACATTACTTAGTAACTGATAACTGTTATTTGCACTGCTTGTACAATATCATGACATGATCACAATCATGGGCATGTTTTGCAATGGTATGCCCCTCACAATCAAAACTTTTAACCTTCGGAAGACAGAAACCAACAGACATTAGTGGAGTGATATAATGAGTGTAAGCATCACTAACACTTCCAACGCATCTCTGACAAAATTCAGGCCAAAGTAGCCATATAGTAATCATAATTATATTTTTTAAACAATATAAATAAACTGGGAGCTGTACTGAACACTGTTGTCAAACCAGTTTTTAAAAAAAAACAACTGTTCACCCTCCCAATGGGAGCAGCCGTTTATTCTGTAGTTTCTGGTTGCCCAATGAGTTTTGAAACATTTTGTTTAGGACGTTGTTTACCTGGTTCCGATCTCTGCCAGGTCCGTTACTTTATCCTCAGCCTCGTTGACGGGAGAGGCGGACCGCGTGGACGAGGCGCTGCTGCTGTTGCTAGGGGCGACGGCGGCCATGGAGTTCCCGAGAACCTCCTCCAGTTCTGGGTCGTACTCTGCCTGCCCCTGGATCAGGTGCTGTAGCAGGTCCTGGGTCATGTTGTAGCTGTGCTCTAACGTGTGGACCTTAGCTTCACGCTCCTGAGAAATATGTCAAGTTTCAATCAAAGTCCTGATGCAATTTCATCTTATTTATAGTAGAGTGTCTATATTGTTATCTAAAAAAAATAGGAAAATGTCTAAGAACTGTTACCTCTTTGAACTGTTAGATAACGATTTTGATATTCATGTTTAGTTGTTCTTGTCTTGTTATACGGTACTGTATAAAAAAAAAAATATTGTCTCATTGTGTGTAATCACTGTCACTGATGAGTGCCACCCAGGTAAAAGAATACAGAAATAAATAAGGAAATAAATAGAAACTGAGCAATCCTTTTAAAATTGTTTGCACAGTTCAGTAAGTCTTTCGAGAGTGACTGACAGGAGTAGTATATGTTGCCATATGTACATTTGTAGTACCTGCTACATTCCACTATTACCAGTTCGTCTTCTATGCACTTTTGTACATCCAAAATTGGTGCAGTGAACCTCATTTTTTGACCGTTGACACAAAATGTTTCCAGTGCACCTATAGCTGAAGTCTTAGCTGTTGGTACATTGTGTATGTCTGTATTTGTGCTTGTACACTTGCATGCATCCTGTACTCAAACCTCACCTTACACTCTGTCTCCTTCTGTGCAGCATACATGCCTTTAGTGATAACCATGTTCAGGAAGTGTTCCAGTACATAACATACACATAGATCTACATGTACTTGTATGTCTGTATCTGTCTGTGCATGTACACATGCATGTATCCTGTACCCAAACCTGCATGTACCTCACCTTACACTCTGTCTCCTTCTGTGCAGTATACAAGCCTTTAGTGATTACCATATTTTTTAAGTGTTCCAGCGAGTAACATATAATGTGTACACCTACACTTGTGCCTGTATACTATGTGCCTGTGTGTACACAAAGATACATGTATGACATTGTGTACCTCACCTTACACTCTGTCTCCTTCTGTGCAGCGTACATGCATTTAGTGATGACCATGTTCAGGAAGTGTTCCAGTAGGTAACATACATATATAGACCTACGTATTTTTACACATGTATGTCTGTATCTGTCTGTGCATGTACACATGCATGTATCCTGTACCCAAACTTACATCTACATGTACTAACCTTGCACTCTGTCTCCTTCTGTGCAGCGTACATGCCTTTAGTGATGACCATGTTCAGGAAGTGTTCCAGTAGGTACCGAGCCTCCTCAATGGAACAGGAGTTGATGACAGCTGTGATGTCCACAGGATCTCCCTCCTCCTGCAAAACACAACACATTTTCACACTTCAAAGTACATGTACAGTCAACGTTGCCCAAGCAAATACCTCTATGAGCTGGCCATCTGTATCTGTATCTGTAAAGCCGGTATAACCGCCCTTTGGCGTAACACACCAGCTTTGCGGGCATGCGGCACAGCTGGCCACAACAACTGCTTTTTCTTGGTCCCGATTTTTCCCCAATAGATGTAAGCATTAACTTGCCTAAGCTGACCACTTGTCCAACGCGACCGTAACAGGCACGTTTTGTGAATAGAATAATGTCTGGGCCAAAATTTCTCACAATTTTTTCTTTGACAAGTCTCTTTTAACTGATAGTACAATGTGGTTGTTCACAAAGATGTTCATCATCATCATCATATCTTGCCGGCCCACTGCTCCAGCCAGTCCAGGGCTTCCTGGTTAGCATCGATGTTAACAGATAGACAAAGACTGGAGTTGTGCAGTTGAAAATTTGGGTAAGTCCAATTCTTTGTGTTGGAAATTACAGTTTAAACTTACATTGCATTATGACATCTACCAAAACAGATGAACTTTGCAAAATAGACGAGAAAATAAACACAAACTCAGGAACACTTACAGACATCTGCATGATGCTGTTTTGGCTCTCCATGATGTTGTCATTAACGTTATCAATGTTGTCATTGAGCACAGTTATCTGGTCCTGCAACTCCTGTAGGACTTTGGGATCTTTACACTCCTCCACAGCCTTGTTTCTCTTCTGCTTGATTCGTTCGATCCGTTTTCCCAGCTTCTCTCGCTCCTGTAGCCATCTCTCCATGTCGCGCTCCATGTGGTTTATCGTCTGTCGCCGTGCGATGACTTCCCCCACCCGTTTTTCCAGCGATTGCCACTTCATTTTCGCCATTTTCTCCGACGACTGCCTCCGCTGGTGTTTAACCCGACGCGGGGTGGACGTCGGAGCTGGAATGTGACTGCCGCGTATTGCACCGGGTTTTTCCATTGCACTCGAGGGTTTCGATTGGCTACCTTTTGTCGAGCTAGCAGCAGATCGCACGGAGGGAGCAGTTCTAGGGCGGGGTTTGGGCGCGAGGTCGGGCTTCTCTTCCGCGTGCCCGTTTGTCGCTTGGGGATCCGTTGGCGCTTTCTTTCGCGAGTCGCCGACTTTGCCAGATACTGGTCGAGCCTGTTTGCGAAGGGAGTTGACTTCTTCTTGTTTGCGTTTGAGGACGAGTTCTCGCTGCTTCTTCTCGCGCTCCAGCTGCTGGATCAGGTTGTCACGACGACGCTGTTCCTTCTTCAGCTGGGCCAGCTCACGCGTTCTGGAAAGGCATTATGGGACATGTGAATACAGCTTGTACATATACATGCAAATCACCAGTTTTGCTGTTGTATCTTATAACGAACAGGTACATTTGTCGCAATGATAGGAGATTCCAACACATGTACATTTAGTAAAGACTCTTTTTACAAAACCAATTGTTTTATTCAGCTGACTGTCTGTCACCTCCCTCAGGGCAATTCTGATATGTATAGATATGTAAATATTGTACATTTAGGAATGCATCTATAACAGTAACACCTGTGCTGCAGTGCAATGTGAACCAGTCAGAATTGCCCTGAGGAAGATGACAGACGGTCCCCGAAACGTCAGCTGAATAAAACACTTGGTTGTGTCTCTTTACTCAGTGACTTACCAATCTGATGAAACTATTCACGGACATGTACATGTAGTTCAAAATGATCTTACATTTTCAATGCAATATAATATATCACTCTGCTTTGTCAAGCTACTACATACTAGTATACAAATGTGTTAGGGCAGGAAAAACACATTCACATATTATTAATAGGAAAATTGAAGTAACTGTCAGGTAAAATTTCTGATGCCATCTGATTCACTAATAGGAATTCCGATGAAAATAAAAATCACACAACGTTTACCTCTTGTTCTCCGACTCTCTGCTTTTCGCCTGCTCGTCTCTCATCTGTTTCATCAGGCGACATTTTGTCTTCTTCATCTCGTCCAGGTCGTGTCGCAGCGTCTTCAGCTGTTTCTCGTACTGCGCGTTGTTCCGCATCAGCCGGGCGTGTTCACGCTTCGCTGCCTGCAGCTTCTTCACTTCATCCTGAGGGAACAGACAGAAAAATCAGTCAGCCTTTTTTTGGCGACGTCTCAGGGAGGAGCCTAATGGTACAGTATTGTGTGCAGTTTGCAAGAATTCTAGGAATGGTACAGGCATTTTGTCCACAGGAATGGAATGTCCACAGGCATTTCTCTGACCCACATCTATGCCCACATTTCTGAAAACCTTTAGAAGACCTGTCTGCCCCGGATGGCCCTACTTTCTGTGATCCTGGGGTTCGTTCACTATACCCTCAGGGGAGGAGTGCACTGTATCTCTCTAGATAGGTACCAAGTCTTCCTCAAAATCATGAAATGATGGCAGTGCCATGCAAACAATAACCCTAACAGCAACCACCGTCACCATGGCAATGTATGTTTTCATTGCCAGTCTTGTTCTACTCTTGCTCTTTGTGGCTTTTAGCTTGTATTTCAGGCATCTTCATTCAGAATTAAGCAAGACAAAACATAGAAAATAGCAGTGTTTTTTAACAGCTTTTAGCAGTATACTCCACAAAAAATATCAATGAGTTTTTTTATGGGTTCACCACACCACGAAGTGGTGTGGTGAAACCATATTGCTTTTTCTGATGTTTCTTCTTCTCCTTCTCCTCCTGCCATATCTTTAAATGGATTCAGCTTCTTCATTTTAGGGCCTAAGGTCCTGAAATTTGGTATGGAGGTACAGTGGGCAAATACCCCTAGGCGTTTTTTAAATTATTGTGATACAGGCTTTTAGAATGGTTTTATTTGAGTTTTTTGGCTGTGTAATAGCTAATGTATTACTGTGTAAGTGTGCAGTGTTTACCACATTTGGACATGAGTCATCACAATGGCATGCAAGGCATCAACCAATAGGCATGCAGCTTTCCTCTATTCTCCTTGCTGATTGGCTGTTGGGATTTAACTGGCTTAACTTCATTTACACCTGCACAGAGCCATGCCATACTGACAGTATGTCTGTATTCAAGTGTTTTGGTAGGTATTTTAAGCTTTCCTGCTCCAGCATTGGAATGCGGGCTATGAACGCTTCTTTTTATCTTGAAAATCAACAGTTTGCATTATGCAATCCTAACCAATAATGTAGGGAATAGCTATCCAACTGTTGTAGTCTTAGTTGTATGTTACTTCATACTATAGTTATATCAATGTAAAGCATTGTTTTCCCTTGTGTTTCTCATTCTTTCCCTGCCATGTGGTAAAATGTGGTGAACCCATCGCTATATTTGCTCCAAAGCAAATATTGGCCTTTCTAGTTGTTTCTGATTTTTCCAGCTTTTGGTCAATAATTATATCCTTCACTTTGAAGTTTTGTTGACAGTATTTGAGCAAGCCTCTATCTCAAAATTCGAGTGGATGGGTTTCTATGCGGCTGTAATGCACAAAAGAAACATGATTCCTTACCTGCATGTTCTTGAGTTTCCTTTCGTATTCAGACTTGATTTTCTTGGCTTTTTCTTCGGCGATGTGGTCCACGGACTCCATGTTTGCCAGCACCTGAGGCAGAAAATGAGGATCAATTGTGACCATGTGGCAGTACTTCACTGAAGAAATCAGAGATTTCATAGCTCCATTGAATATTTAGAATTGTGTAAATTTCTTGTGTTGTTCATTTTGTAAACGTCTTTTCTTATGTCTATGCATTTTCCTTCTGGCATCCAGCCAGCTTCTGGGACCAAACTTCCAGTGTCTGAACTTTTGTGGTCTGTGGTTAAGTAATTTCCACCTTGTCCCTCTCCTGCTGTGTGGCCTCTTTTTTCTGCTGCAGAGTTTTTCGTCAACTGAACATTTAACAACCAAGTGACCAACCAACTGTACAAACAAACACAAACAACACTAAAACACCATACCTTGTCCCTCTCCTGTTGCGTAGCCTGTATTTTCTGCTGCAGGTTCAGGAGTTTTTCCTCGTACTGGTACTTCAGCACCTGCATCTTCTTCTGGCTCACCTCCAGTTCATCTATCAGCTTCTGTTTGATGGCGATCTCACACGAGATGTCTGGAGAACAACAAGAACATGTCCTTTAGTAGTCTGTGGTTAAGTAATTCTCACCTTGTACCTCTCATACATGTACTTCTATCAACTATCGATCAGCTTCTGTTTGATGGCGATCTCACATGAGATGTCTGGAGGAACAACAATGACATGTCTAACTTTCAGTGTCTAAACTTTTGTGGTCTGTGGTTAAGTAATTCCCACCTAGTCCCTCTCATGCTTCTATCAACTACATTTGTGTATCTATCAGCTTCTGTTTGATGGCGATCTCACACGAGATATCTGCAGGAACAACAAGAACATGTCTAACTTTCAGTGTCTAAACTTTTGTGGTCTGTGGTTAAGTAATTTCCACCTAGTCCCTCTCATGCTTCTATCAACTACATTTGTGTATCTATCAGCTTCTGTTTGATGGCAATCTCACATGAGATGTCTGGAGAACAACAATATCATATCTTTAGTGTCATCGTGTGGCATAGGACCCATAGGTCCTGGGTTCAAATCCACCAACATGCCCCACCGTTGTGCCCTTGGGAAAGGCACTTAACATTGCTTTCCTCACTTCACTCATGTTTTTGCACATATAAGGTTTACATCCCGTCTGCAGTTTCTAAATGTTATGTTGGAAAAGATGTCATCTGTAACAGGCGAAATTCTGATGCAACGTTGACCAGAAATCTAACTGAAATCGTGAAAATTTAGGGTTTTGCGCAGGTACAATACGTTGTTTGCATTCTGCCTACTAAATCCAGTGATCCAAGGCCCCCTACCTGCCAGGTCTTCCTCCAGATTATCCCCGTCCTCCTCTTCAGACGAGCTGTCACTGCTCCCCTCCTCCTCCTCCTCATCCTTCTCCTCCTGGTTCTCATCCTCATCTTCCTCCTCCTCCTCTGATCCTTCTCCCATTCCATTCTTCTCTCCTCCTTCCTCCTGCTCTTCTTCTCCCTCGCTCCTGTTTTCCTTGTCAGAACTGCAAAAGAAAAGTTAAACACTCATTTATTCACTTCTTCATTTATCATGTCTCTGATTTGCCATTTTTACTATATTTCAATCACAATTTCTGCCATTATAGACCATTATACTTTATCGAAATGCCTTTTCTTGTCCTCCTTTTAACCAAAAATTTCTCTTTTATGGACAATATTCAAGATCAAATTTTGAAAAAGATACCACACTTTGTGACAGAATTCTCACAGCAAGAACCAATCTTCTTTTTTATTTTTCATTGGAAAAAATACACCTAGACTGAAGACTAGTGCTCCTTACTGATAAGATTGAAATTCTTAGATTTTCTAGAAATTTGAGTCAAATTGATTTTACGATTTAAAATCTGTTTCTTACAAATTGTAAATAGCATAGAAGAAATATTTGATGATAAAATCCATCTAAAATGTTCCAATGTACCAGAAGCATTAAGTACAATGCCATTCCAGTGCCCAATGGTAAAATGGTGAAATTTTACTAATGATATTAGACTTGAGCAAATTACAATTGTTAGATGTCAAGGATTGAAGGTTGTCATTTCTTTATTACAGTCAGTCAAGGAATGGAAGCAAAAAAAACACAAATGAATGATATCAGAAGTTGAATCTTGGTCCTGAATAGGCAGCTAACTTCATCACCAGGTTGGAGGAACAAAGAAACTATGACGGCTACAAATGTTGAGCATTACACCTTGGTGGAAAAAGCTCAAAAAAGTTACTACCCTGCTTTTTAAATACTCTTTTCAAGGACTTTATGATTTTCAATCTACCATTTTCTTAAATCAATGCAGTTTTTTCAGCTTCTTGTAACAAACTTTGTTACAAGAAGCTGAAGCTCTGATCAAAACTTTGAACCAAAAACTTGCTTTATATTATAGACATTTTGAAAGCTACTTGAAGCTATTACACAGAAAAATAGCTCACAAGACAAGTAGAGTAACTGTTAGAAAGGACATTTTTGGCAGCAATATGGCTGGTGTCCTCTTCTTCACTCACATGCTCAACTCTAAGGCAATTTTGAAATTCAGTTCAATCTTGGTGATCAGCAAAGTCGTTGCCAGTATGACAGCCCCTTAACTGCAGATCAGGCAACTTGTGGCTTCAGTACTGGCCCAGTATTTTGAATAAAACAAAAAAAAACAGGGCATTATAACATGGGTTTATGTATTACAGGGGCGTGAGGGTTGGAATTTGTAGCAGGCGGGGGTTTTGGTTAGCAGGTTTCTGCCCAACCTGTGGTACATTTTTGTACCTCTGCATCCAACTGTCAGTCATGACCGCCCTGTCTACTCTCCCCTTCTGTCTATACTTCCTGTAAACACAACCAGGCGGCATCAACAAACACTTTAAAGGCATCCAATGCAACTTCAAGGTGGCGAAACCCGAAATATTCTGAACTAGAAAAGTAACATTTGCAAAGCAAATGCATAATGTTTACCTTCGGATATGGTCTGCTCTGTTAATTCTTACTCAAATACATTCATATATATGGTCAGACAGGAGTCTCTACATGTATGTCTCCTACTATAATTAGTATAACATTGCAACATGATGTAACCCAACACCAGTTACCATGGTGACAGACATCAACAAATCAGGTCATCAGGCCAGAAGAAGAAGAAATTGAGTAAAAACAATATGTTTTCCTTCGGTAAACATAATAAGGCAATCTGTATGATATTGACACATACTAGTACCATCCCACATTAACACATTTGAATCAGTATTTCATACTTTAGGCCTGTAAAACTGCAGAAACAAGACCCAAGATAAGTCCTTTACTTTCTGGGTGGTACCCTTAAAATCAATCCAGGTCCTTTCAGTAACATTTTTTCGTTAGATATACATTGGGATAGTGTTGTTTCAACTTAGTATGCCGATAAGTGACTAGAATATTGACTTTGAAAAAGCTGGTTTCCAAGCCCTAAAAACTACACTGGATGCCTTTAACACTCTTACACTGATGTGTGATGACAAAGCACGTTTTGAAATTGTCAGAAAATTTCTTAAAATCAAGAGACATACACATCATAGTCCAAACAGCACTTCCTGAAAATATAACCATTTTTAGATGCATCAACAAACACAGGAACTTTTATATGTGATGCTGCAGTACTTGTAAAGTAAATGCATAATGTTTACCTTCACAATTGGTCTAGCCTAACAAACTACAGCTCTGTTTATTGTTACTCAAACATATTCATTATATAATACATGTATGTGGTGAGCAGTCACTATAGCTATGTCCTGCTACATAATGTAACCCAACACCACAGGCTGTCTGCTACAGTACTAGTTACCATGGTGACAGACCTCTGGTCCAGGTCATTGACTTCATTCGTATGGAGAAGAAGAAGAAGAGGAAGAAACAGCACAAAAACAGTTTGCAAAGGTTGACATAAAAATGATAACAACCAAAGTCCATACCTTTCTGAATTGTGCCGTTTTCTAACTCGACTCTTCCTGTGTTTAAGGTTCTCCAGGTCTTTCTTGGCCAGACTTATGATGCTCTCTGTGTCTTCAGCGATGGGAGACACTGGGGAGCCGCCTCCAAACTGGTTGGTCAGGTCGGAGGTGTCCAGTCCACCGGTCAGAGCGATGTGAGACGGGCTACGGGACGACAGAGACGTGGAGAGAGACAATCCCTGGTTGGATATCCTGCGCTGGAGATGAGTCACCATGCTCTCACTTTCAATCAGCTTTCCCCTGAAGATTTAACACATTGTTTGCATCAGAGCATGGGTAACTGATTTCTGCAGATTAATATATCATAGACAGATATTAAGTCTTATTGTTTTTATTGGATAGAGGGTAAATTTCTGCAGATCTATATAACGTTAGATATTACAGATATTAGATAACCTTTACTGTGTATGAATAGGTAAATATATAAAAGAATGTTTAAATGTTAAAAGTAGCATAGGTGATATGGTAAGCTCAACATATTCATATACACTGGAAGCTGGTGTGTTACGCCGAAGGGCAGTTATACCGGCTATACAGATACAGAAGCTGGTGTGTTACGCCGAAGGGCGGTTATACCGGCTATACAGATACAGAAGCTGGTATGTTACGCCGAAAGGCGGTTATACCTGCTATACAGATACAGAAGCTGGTGTGTTACGCCGAAGGGTGGTTATACCTGCTATACAGATACAGAAGCTGGTGTGTTACGCCGAAGGGTGATTATACCGGCTATACAGATACAGATGGATCCTGATTATAAGGTACAAAGCCATGTACATGTACAAGCTTACGATCACAGATCCCAAAGAATAAGATTCCAGAATCCCACATGAGTTCCTTGATCTCCTTCATGTATCCCTGGATTATAGATCCTAATTATATAAGGTACGAGGCCACATACATGTACAAGATCACAGATCCCACAGTACAAGATGACAGACCCTAAACTACAATGATCCCAGAATCCCACCTGAGTTCCTCGATCTCCTTCATGTATCCCTGGATCATGGATCCCACCTGATCCTCTCCGTCCTCGCCTGCCTGGTGGATCTGCCAGCGCGCCTGGTCTGTCATCAGCTGACTGATCCGGGCAGCCTGGCTCTCAACGGTTTCCTATGGAGTTAAACAAGTAAGTCAGCAGACTGATTGTTAACTTTCAATCAATCACCAGAAATGGTGTACCTTTGACTTTGACTTTATTGGGATCCACATTTAGCTTACAACAAATGTAGCTATTCTTCCTGTGGTCCTTCAAGACACCAGGTATGTAAGCGTGCCACACAGCACGTTTCGACGGCGTCAAAAGTGCACAGGAAACACGCAATGACGGCAGGGTGCATGTATATGGGGCACCCAGAACGGCTGTTTTTAACGGTCTCCACATTGATATAAAGCTAAAACGGTTGACTATACTCGGGTAGAATATAGTTAATCATATTTTACGATCTTTTGATTCCTATGAAGGGCAGAATTTGAGAAATTTACGACTTTGCCAAGCCCGTACTGAGCGCCTGTCAGGACGTGGAGCGCCGATCCGGCGAAGATCGTTCGACTAACCCGTTCTGAAAATAAAGAAACAACACCAAAACTATCAACTTTTCCGCTTGTGATAATCTTCAGATGTATTACTTGTGGTTTTCTTCGTTGAAGCTGCCAGTTAACCTGCATAAAGACCTATAATTTGGCCGCGGAGTTCAGCGGCACGGCACGAAAAATCCGCCATGTTGTGCCGGCCGCTTAGACAGAAAGTAGCCACTTATTGCGACACATACATTACGGCGGTACGGCGTGAAGTTGGCTGGATGCGGCGCTCGGTCTCTCTTTTTTGTGTGAGTCCGTTACATGGAAGATTTTCGGACACAAGCTTGAAGAGAAATATTTCTAAGCTGAATGGTTCATTTCTAAATAATGTATTTCACAATAAAAGGCAAGCGGGGGAACTTTCCGCATGCCGTCGCCACGTGCCAGTCAGCACGTCAAGACGTGCTGAGCAGCACACTGTGACGGAAGTTTTGTGGACTGACGGTGAACTAATAAAATGTTGCTGCTACAGTTGTGAGACTTGAGGAGGTGAAAATTGTCGATTTAGCCACAGGGCAATTCGATAAAAAAAAAGGTAAGTACTTGTAGAGAATGTCGACATCGCACGCCAGTTGAAGTTCTGACCCGCCCTCCTGTGCCACGCTGCACGCTGTGACGGTCGAACTTAGGAACTCTTACAGGTATTTTTAATTTCTCTTATTTTAGTTTTAAAATTCGTCATTAATTTCCAGGCTCTAATTTCTAAAATTGTTTCTAAAAAAAGTGGTTGTAAGAAAATTTTAAAGTTTATTTAGAATTTTAGATTCTTTTTCGTTTGTTTTATTCGACCGTTATCATGTGCTGACCCACACGCTATGACGGGTCATACAGAAACTCACGTTACGACTAATGGCTGTATATGGCAAAATTGTATTTTTGAATTGTACGTTTCGTCCTTTGATTAGCGATTGTAAAATGATAGAAACTTTGTTTTCTTTTTATTATTTTACTGCTATAATGACATTTTCTTTTTAGGACATATAAGGACAGTTTTTAGAGACTTTATCGTTTGTGTTATCCTCGTACCGTTATCATGTGCTGACCCACACGGAAACGCACGTTACACTGATGGTAAAATTCGTCCTTTGATTAGCGATTGTAAAATGATAGAAACTTTTAAAACTTTTTTCTTTTTTTAAGAGTTAGTTTGCTGCTATAAGATAAGAACATTTTTCAGTTTTTTAGAGTCTTTGTCGTTTGTTTTATTCTACCGTTATCATGTGCTGACCCACACGCTATGACGGGTCATACAGAAACTCACGTTACGGCGAATGGTATTTTCAATGGTAAGTTTCGTCCTTTGATTAGCGATTGTAAAATGATAGAAACTGTTTTCTTTTTATTATTTTGCTGCTATAATGACATTTTATTTTTAGGACATATAAGGACAGTTTTCAGAGACTTTATCGTTTGTTTTATTCTACCGTTATCATGTGCTGACCCACACGCTATGACGGGTCATACAGAAACTCACGTTACGGCGAATGGTATTTTCAATGGTAAGTTTCGTCCTTTGATTAGCGATTGTAAAATGATAGAAACTGTTTTCTTTTTATTATTTTGCTGCTATAATGACATTTTATTTTTAGGACATATAAGGACAGTTTTCAGAGACTTTATCGTTTGTTTTATTCTACCGTTATCATGTGCTGACCCACACGCTATGACGGGTCATACAGAAACTCACGTTACGACTAATGGTATTTTTCAATGGTAAGTTTCGTCCTTTGATTAGCGATTGTAAACTGATAGAAACTGTTTTCTTTTTATTATTTTGCTGCTATAATGACATTTTATTTTAGGACATATAAGGACAGTTTTCAGAGACTTTATCGTTTGTTTTATTCTACCGTTATCATGTGCTGACCCACACGCTATGACGGGTCATACAGAAACTCACGTTACGACTAATGGTATTTTTCAATGGTAAGTTTCGTCCTCGTCTTCAGTGACCGTTTTACTTGTTTCACGCAGACGATGTTGTTGGTCACTAGCTTCTCGGCAGGAACAGATCCAAAAGGTATGGGTAGAACCGGTCACACTTGTGAAGGACGTGTCCATTTTTTCCACAACCACGGGGCTCTTAAGTTGCCCAAATGGGATTCAACTGGAGAAGCACGACTTTCTCCGCCTTTTATACCCTTCGTGCGACATGTGAACAATGGATTTCGGTCAGAGCGCCCTGATCTGATGGAGATCCTGGTCAGAGCGCTCCGAGATCCTGCTTTCCGATTGGTCATCAAACCATTACGTAATAATGCGGTCGGTGGTAGGGCGCCCTAACCCTAAATCGGTCAGAGCGCTCCGAGAATCCTGCTTTCCGATTGGTCATCAAACCATTACGTAATAATGCGGTCGGTGGCAGGGCGCCCTAACCTTAAATCGGTCAGAGCGCTCCGAGATCCTGCTTTCCGATTGGTCATCAAACCATTGCGTAATAATGCGGTCGGTGGTAGGGCGCCCTAACCTTAAATCGGTCAGAGCGCTCCGAGATCCTGCTTTCCGATTGGTCATTAAACCATTACGTAATAATGCGGTAGGTGGTAGGGTGCCTTAACCTTAATGTGGAAAATCAGTCAGAGTGCCCAAAGATTCTGCTTTCAGATTTGTTACTTGACATCAAATGCGTCGGTGGCAGGGCGCCATAGCTTTGATGGCATGGCATTCACCCATGTACCCAGCTAAAATCTCACAACGTCTCTCACCGTCTCCCTAACCTCTGCTTTATTGCGGGATAAACAAGACTTGTTCTAGAACATTAAACAAGGCCAATATGTCTCATTGGGTGCTACATGGCGCAGGTGTTTTCACAGAACACTTTACCACCGTCCGGGAATTCATGATCTAATGTTAAATTGGACCGTCACAGCGTGTCACTGGGCACCATGTAACGGCGTCATGGCGTGCAGGTGAACTCGTGGCGACGGAGATTTGTTGATGAAACTGACGGCGCAGCTAAGAAACTTGTTACGTGGACTACAAGATGCAGTGCCGGAAAAGGGTACACACTACATATGCTTGTTGTCTTCGCTATCTCAAGGGCACAATACCCGTCGTTAATACCCTTTCTTTATAAACCGTCACCACGTACGAGTGAACACGCAACGACGGCTGCAGCTGGGTGCTCGGAGCTGTGGCAGGTGTAAATGATGTCTTACATGGATACTGCTAAGAGTCGGAATTATTGGAAGTTGATAGAAATACTATGTAAAACTATGTTGGCTCCGGCAAAAACCAGATATTAAAGTTACTTCGTAACTGTATACGTAAGATTCAAGTAGCAAGTACAACCAAACACAGCCCTTCAAATTTCGCCGTCCAAGTGTGTGAATGGACACCCTTTAACGCCGAAAACGGCAAAAACTTTGCTTACGGAAAATAACCTTACCAGGAAGTGTATAGACAAAGAGATGCATGTATTTTGTTTTATTCCTCCGTCAAATTGTTCTGTGGCTAAATTGACAATATTCATCTCTTAAAGTCTCACAATTGTAACAGCAACGTTCTGTGGTGAGTAGTTATCCGTCATAGCGTGTGGATCAGCACATGATAACGGCAGAATATCACCAATGAAAAAGAATCTAAATATTATCTTGCAATTGCAAGATAGTGTAACTCGCAAAAAAAATCATCATTTCACTATTCAAAGGAAAGTAATGAAGGATTTTAAAACTAAAATAAGAGAAATTAAAAATACCTGTAAGAGTTCCTAAGTTCGACCGTCACAGCGTGCAGCGTGGCACAGGAGGGCGGGTCAGAACTTCAACTGGCGTGCGATGTCGACATTCTCTACAAGTACTCACCTTTTTTTATCGAATTGCCCTGTGGCTAGATCGACAATTTTCACCTCCTCAAGTCTCACAACTGGAGCAGCAACATTTTATAGTTCACCGTCAGTCCACAAAACTTCCGTCACAGTGTGCTGCTCAGCACGTCTTGACGTGCTGACTGGCACGTGGCGACGGCATGCGGAAAGTTCCCCCGCTTGCCTTTTATTGTGAAATACATTATTTAGAAATGAACCATTCAGCTTAGAAATATTTCTCTTCAAGCTTGTGTCCGAAAATCTTCCATGTAACGGACTCACACAAAAAAGAGAGACCGAGCGCCGCATCCAGCCAACTTCACGCCGTACCGCCGTAATGTATGTGTCGCAATAAGTGGCTACTTTCTGTCTAAGCGGCCGGCACAACATGGCGAATTTTCGTGCCGTGCCGCTGAACTCCGCGGCCAAATTATAGGTCTTTATGCAGGTTAACTGGCAGCTTCAACGAAGAAAACCACAAGTAATACATCTGAAGATTATCACAAGCGGAAAAGTTGATAGTTTTGGTGTTGTTTCTTTATTTTCAGAACGGGTTAGTCGAACGATCTTCGCCGGATCGGCGCTCCACGTCCTGACAGGCGCTCAGTACGGGCTTGGCAAAGTCGTAAATTTCTCAAATTCTGCCCTTCATAGGAATCAAAAGATCGTAAAATATGATTAACTATATTCTACCCGAGTATAGTCAACCGTTTTAGCTTTATATCAATGTGGAGACCGTTAAAAACAGCCGTTCTGGGTGCCCCATATACATGCACCCTGCCGTCATTGCGTGTTTCCTGTGCACTTTTGACGCCGTCGAAACGTGCTGTGTGGCACGCTTACATAGCTCAAGACACACATGACACATTTACAAAACATAAATACATTGCAATTACATCATATTGAAACAGATTAAAATATAGCTATATACATGTACATCATCACAACTTCATTTCATTCCATGCACTGGACATTCTATACAAAAATCTTCTTTTCTGTGCATTTGTTCGAGGTTTAGGAAGGCGGATGGTCTGTGAGTCTGATGTTCTAGTATGGTAACCATGTGACTGCTTAGTGATGTTCTTATACAATGATATGGGTTGTTTTTCTTTCATTATCCTACGGAAAGTTCTCAGTCCTTTCTGGAGAACTCTGTCCTCTAGCAACCTGTCCTTGCTTCCTCATCCATGAAGTTTCCATATAAAAAAAAGGTAATGGTAGCCCCATTTTTAATTTAAGGCCGTAGGGGCAGTGGGGCGTTGATCCACTGTGTCTAGGCCTTCTTGGAGATATTGTGTAACACAGGCCAGAAAAGTATAACTTCCAGTTTGGACACCTGAAAATTAAACCATGGCCTAGTACCCCACAGTATGCAGACTAAAATAGCATAATCTAGGATTGAAACCCAGACCTTGTGGTTAAAAAAACTGGTCCCTAAGTACTAAAATTGTTACACAGTACATATCATTAAGAAGTGGTATTCCCACCTGGATGGCTTTGATCCTCATCCTGAGTTGATTGTTCTCTGTCTGTAACATGGTGTTCTCATGGAACATGTCATTTATACACTCCACTCCATCTTCTCCTATTGTCCGACGACCCTGGGGAAAACAAGATCGTTCATGAAGGTTACACATATCGGAAAATGTGTTTTAAAGGGTGCGGACTATTGTATTTTGGCTCGTCTGTCTGTGTGTGTGTTGGGTGTGTGTGTGTACATGTTTGTGTGCATTTGTGTGTGGGTTGTATGTAATGATGTGTACCTATTGTGTGTGTGTCCCTTACTAAGGGGGTGAAGTCTGCCATCTCTGAATTCTTTCAGATTCTAGCAATGGTTCCTATGCAAACTGCATCTGTTCCTATACTTACCTATACAGTAAAGCCAGTCTCATCCATCAAGGCATATCCTTAACAATAACTTTTATTTCTTATGAAACAAAAGCAAAACCCTAACCTAATCCAAGTAGAGGAGGCAAGCTCATTACTGCCCCCTTGCAGTTCTTGTGCAAACTGCACCTGTTGTGCACCCACCTGTCTGTACTCCAACAGTTCTGTCTCCAGTTCCACAACCTTTGCTCGAAGCTCCTGAATGATTTTACTGGTCTTGTCCTGGTTCACGGAGACCTTGTTCTTGATGTTTCTAGCGCGGTTTGCGTACTTGAGCGTGTTTAGTGTTTCCATGAAGTCTCTGTCGGATGGACTGACACAAGCTATCATCAGGGTACGGCTGTTGCCACCTAGGGAGTCTTGCAGCAGTCTGGTTAGCTTAGAGTCTCTGTGAGGAAGACAAAGTTTCATTTGAGATTTCAGTCAACCTAGTACTTGGAAAATTCTTTTTTCAACCTTTACCACAAGCCAAAGGAAAACTTACTTGTCTTACTTGTCATGTGGGTTGCACATATAGCACCCTGTATATGTTAAATATTTAGTCATTTCTCGTGCAAAGCATCACTTCGCAGTGGAACACAGCGAATGCAGATTTTCCAAAGTAACTACGCCAGCACAGGGCAAAAAAAGTCAAGAGTCTATTACCTGGTTTAGACATCAAATTATTTGAAAATATTGTGTAAAAATGTCAGCAGGACAAGGGTTAGGATATACAATGTACACTGAAATACTAAATTATAAATGTCTAACTTCAGTACCTGTAAGGCACGTGGCTTCCCTTCTTCTTGGGGTCTCCCAGAGCAGATATGACATTTCCCAGGGCCAGCAGGCCACAGTTAATAGAAATACCCTCCTGTAAATATAAGGTCAAATCGGCAATTTAATCAATCAATTAATCAATCATTCTTCAGAATAAAAGCTGACAGACAAGTCAAAATTACAATGCTAACATCCAGTTCAAAAACATTTCTTAATTTGTCCTGTTGACAAAGTACCCAATAAACAAATTAAAGACAATAAAAGTTTTTGGTTATTTGTTTTTCAGAAGTCATTGCGTCAAACCAGAAAAATAGACTATAAGTTTCTATAGTGTTCATAGTATGCAGTGTAAAAAAGAACTGCTAGGTGCAAGACAAGGCAACAGGGATATATATTTAAAACAAAAGCCTTGTCTGATCTTACAATTGTGTCTCTGTTCTTGCAACAAATAAACAAAACAGTTTCTTGCTACAACACTTTAGAGATAATATGAAATTAAGACAAACCTTACTCTATACAAAACTAGAGGTGATCCTATAGAAAAAGTCTTTGTATTTTAAATAATTTCTTATCCAACCTTCTGTCTGTCTCCTGTAGCCCCAGTTCTCTTCAACCTCTCCGACCCAGCGAGATCTACGAAATGAAACTTTGCCGTCAGGGTTTCGAAGTCGTTGAGTGCGGCGGTGTCTGTCTCCTTGTCCGTGTCGTCCTTTTCCTCCTCGTCCCCGGCGGGCGCGGTGTTCCGTACGACACGCTGCTGTTTGATGTGGATGGTGAAGATGGCATGGGAGCGCGAGCTCTGGGCGTTCATGTTGGTACTGGCCGTGGTACGGGACAGGGCGCCCATCTTCAGACACTGTATGATCTGGGGACAAGATGTAAGGAAGTCACATACATGTAAGATACATGTAAATACCGGTACACAGATAGCCAGTGTTCCAGCCACAGTCTATCTTTCCGTCATTTGACAGAATTTTGCAGCTCATGACAGACAAAATTTTTGCCCAATCCATCATCTTTGCAGACGAAAATTGGTGTGTCCCAATCAAGCATTGTATGATGACCCTCTGAAACTTAATTTCCTGCATTTTGAGGGGCAAATTTTGCTGGTAGACTATGTTTAATTCAATAACATCTCTTTCCATTCCTTTACACATCGACTTTTGTCTGTCAAAGATGACAGATTGGACAAAATTTTTGTCCGTCAAGAACAGCAAAATTCTGTCAAATACATGTAATAGAAAGACAGATGCTGGCTAGAACACTTCCAAACTGTAGAATAAGGTGGATTCCAGGCTACAAGGTAATAAGTATTCCAGTCCTTGTCTCACCTCTTCCTTGGAGCTGACAGCCCTGGTGGTGACACCTACAGTATAGATCCCACCTGTAGCATCCTCATGGATCTTAATGTGAGACTTCTTACCCTGAAATTGGGAAAAAGCCATTACAGGGCTCGAGTGATTTTCAAGATTTGCATGTATAAATATTGCAATCAATTTTGCATGTAAAATGCAGCACATGTGTATCTACCATACTGCATTCAAGTACAATGACATCAAATGTAAGATTCTTATGGGGGCCTGCAAGGGACAACGCTCTACGCTGAATTCGGAAACCTCTTGATTACGCTTTACGATAACTTCCAAGTGTCTACAATGCATTACGTAGAATTAAAACGGCAAATACACTCTACGCAAAATGCGCCAATTACGCTCTATGTTGAATTAGAGCGGCCCATCTATGCTCTACGTAGAATTAAAATGGCCGATTACGCTCTACGGAAAAGGGCTTGCGGGCCCCCTCTTATTACAGTAGTAGATTGTCAAAGTGGGCTATACTTACATGTTCCTTGGACGGGTCAAACAGATCATTGATGTCTTCATTATAAAGCTGGGGAAAAAAGAAAAATCACAACATAAGTGAGTCCGGGAGGACGTCCCTAACCGAAGCTAGGTACTCGTCTACACTTGAATCAAGTGAGAAAATACCTAAAGACACAAGCCAGGGATTTGAACCCAGAACCTTCAGATTCTGAGTCAACAACCCTAACTACAAGACGATCTTGCCACCTTGCCAAATTCAGTTTAGTATTGTCTACGACTTGTATTGGAATTTTAAACCACGCTAAGTTTTACCTCCATGAACTGTGCGTTGATTTTGAACTCGGGCGGAGGGTCTCCTCTCTCCAGTGCGGCCTTTCGTCGCTCGCCGATTCCCCGGAACAGGTGTTCCACGGCACGCGGGATCACGCCCTGCTCCTCCGCAGAGATGCTGACGTCAAACCCTGTACCCATGGTGTAGGTTTTACCAGCACCCGTCTGGAACAAACATGCACCATACACATTAGCACCCTCTGGCAAAATCTATCAAAACTGCAGTACAAAACAAACGTTACAATGTCAAACCCTGTAATGTACCCATGGGGTAGGTCTTACCTGCACCTGTCTGGAACAAACATGTAACAACATCATTAGTCATAAGCGCCATCTGGCAGAACATATTAAAACTGCAGTACCATATAAACATTGCAGCGTCAAACCATGTTTTTCCTGCACCTGTCTGCAACAAGAATGTAAGAGTTAGCAGACACAAGCACCTTGATGGCAAGTGCCCTCTAACAGAATATCTGAAAACTGCAGCACAAACATTACATGTACGAACAGTCCGTGCAGGTTTTATTTGCACCCATCTAACACCAAATGTAACAATACTGATAAAGTTGCAATATTTAACCCCTTGATTGCAAGCAGAGCACAAGAAAACTGCAATAACAACAGTGACAATATGCACAGAGGATTTTCTAGTTTCTTGATTTCTTCCTGTCATTCTCCATGAAACAAATACTTTCTGTCTGTAAGGAAAAAACATTTTGACAGTCTTCATTGATCTCGTATTCGTGACATCCCGTCTATAGTTTTCAAATATTGTGTCTGAAATATATCGTCTTCAACACACAATATGATGCAACGTTGACCAAACGAAACCACGAGATATCTGGGTTTTGCATAAGGTACAGTGTGCTCTGCCAATGTATTGTATCAATGATATCATTCATAAAGTAATATGATTTCCCATTTTGCAGGTGGATGTCTCCCATAAAATGCAGTCTGAATGGCCCATAATCAATCATAATGCCTTTATCTGAGTACTCAGGCCTGGCCTGTTGACATGGGGCACAGCTGGCACTGTTGTTTCTCTGGGAAACTTTCCATATTGATTTCCTATCAGGGATAGAAATCAGCACTGTGTCTATCTCTCAATGGCAGTACAATTTGACAAGATATAAAATGCTCCGGCCTAGTCTCGCGCTCTCGCGAGATTAGGCCACTCCGTGAACAAGATGGACTGATAGCCATCGAAAATTTGGAGGGTAGTATCCTTATCCTTCCAAGTTGTCACTTATGAGAGAATTCACTAGTAACTATAAAATACCATGTAGTGTACCAGCATGTCAGCAGAACATACACTGTACTGCACCTGCAAGAAACCCAGATTTTTTGTGGTTTTCGTAGGATATTTGGTCAACATTGCATCAGAATTTTGCCGGTTACAGATGACATCATCAAAAAAAAATTATGCAGTCGTCATAGGTAGAGATTGGACCATGTAAAGTCCCAAATCGTGCCTTTCACGGTCATGTTAGACAAGTGGTCAGCTTAGACACGAGTCCCTTAATGCATAACGTCTATGGGGAAAAATCAGGACCGAGAAAAAGCGTTCATTATAGCTTATAGATGTGGTACATGTAACTTGGGCAAGTTTGACTGTGTGACTTTCTAACTTTTCAAAAGTTTATATATGATACAGTCAGATGGCCCAGACAGCTTTGAAAGACTTGAATTCAACTTTGCTAACCATTACTCCAAACTACAGATGGGGCGAAGGACCCGACAACCCTATACGGTAAATTTTGAGGGCCGGCTACGTATTACGCTGAATTCAAGAGGCCTCCCCCTTAACACTTTATGATAAATTCAGGGTAGCTATTACGCATTACGTAAAATAAAACGGCAAATTACGCTCCACGCAAAATGCGACAATTACACATTGAATATGAGCGGTCCGTCAACGCTCTACATGTACGTAGAATTAAAATGGCC